GAATTCTGAGAATGCATTTTGTTTTCCTGCTCACCCCAGACCCCAGGCCCTGGCGGTGGTCTGTCCTCTTTGCTGGAAGCAGGGTTATAAATAACTTCCAATTTGCAGCTCTGTGGGGCTGGCGGGGGCGCATGTCCCACGGCCCAGGTTGCTGCCAGCCTTTGCTGGGTTCTTGGAACAGAAGATGGAAGGCCTCAAGGAGGCTTCCATGCAGAGCCGCCTGCCACTCACGTGCCTGCCCAGTCCCTGCTGCCCGGGCCTCGTGGCATTTAGTCTCCATTCAAGTCTAGGTAACCCGGCGGCAGGAGAGGAGGATGAGGGGCCCAAGATGTGACAGGGGCAGGACACGGAGAGCAGCCGCCAAGCCAGGGAAGCAGGCACCCTCAAACACAGAGCATCGGGAGCCAGAGGAGCTGAGGGACCCAGGGAAGCAGGCACCCCCAAACAGCATGGGGGGCCGGAGGAGCTGAGGGACCCAGGGAAGCAGGCACTCCCAAACAGCATGGGGGGCCGGAGGAGCCGAGGGACCCAGGGAAGCAGGCACCCCCAAACAGAGCACGGGGGTCCGGAGGAGCTGAGGTACCCAGGGAAGCGGGCACCCCCAAACACAGAGCATGGGGAGCTGCAGGAGCTGAGGGACCCAGGGAAGCAGGCACCCCCAAACACAGCATGGGGAGCCGGAGGAGCTGAGGGGCCCAGCACTGCTGCTGCCCGTGGACGGGGCAGCTTCCCAACATTTGCCATCTGTGACCTGGGTGCTGAGAGGTAGTGTGCTGGGCCCCTTGTGCGTGCCAGGCCTCTAGGGCGGAGGAGGACTGAGGATGTGGTCCTGACGGTGGGGGGAGGGGGTGCAGGCGAGTGAAGAAGGATCCAGATACCCCGGCTCTTCCTGCTGCAGACGCCTTGGGGGCACACTGCTGCAGGAACCTCACCTGTGCCTGCTTTAGCCCTGCTGTGCCGCCATCCACTGCTGGGCCGGCCCACCAATCTGTCAGTTCTCGTCTCTGGGGACCCCTGACCCTACCAGCGCTGCAGCCATGGCTTCGGAAGGACACCAGCCTGGCTCAGGCTGCCTGGGAATGTCAGACATGGTGCCTGAAGCCTGAGCATCCGTTTTTTCCTCCGGGGCCCTTCCTGTGGAATTCAGTGGGCCGCCCACAGTGTTAGTGGATGCTCAGAGACACAGTGATGCGGGGTGCAGCCCTTGGAGGCGAGGCCTGGGCCAGGTCGCCCCTGAACACAGCGTGCTCAGAACTTCAGGGAGGCGGAGCCCTGGCCCTTCAGCTGTAACCAGAGAAACCACATCCAAATGCCTGGAACTGAGTCCCCCCAGTTAGGAGAAGTGCAGGAAATGGGGGGCTCCGACCAGTGAGGACACGCACAGCTTGTCTGCAGAGATGCTCCCCTCATTTCAACCGTTTCAAAACCAGAGGTGGGAAGCTTCCAAGAGAGGTGCCTTCTCTGTCAGAGCACACGTGTAGGTGCTGAACTGAGCTTGGTGGGGTCTGTCCTCCTCCGCACACTGGAGATCCTGGTGGGGTGTCCACAGGCAGCTTCTCCACTCCTGCGTGCTCACACGCCGACACCGCCTCTCAGGAAGACCACTTGGCTGGGCTGCAGTTGGTTTTGTACATTTTAGGGAGACGGGAGTTACGGGCAAAGGCCCAACTCAATGCACTTAAGGTGGACGTTCGTTTGGCCTGGGACAGGGGAGATCTCCAAGGTGAGGTTTCTGGGTCATAGGTGGATTCAGGGATTTCCCGACTGGCAGTTGGTTGAAAGACTTAAGAAATCAGTGGAAAGGAGTGCTGGAGTTAGGATGGGAGGTTGTGGAAGCTACAGTGCTTGTTATGCAGGTGAAGAGAGAGAACGAATGTCTCTCTTAGGACCTTAAAAGGTGTCAGACTCTTAGTCAAATCTCTCTTGGATCCAGGAAAGACCTCGAAAAAGGAGATGCAAATTTTCCCCACAAGAGACGGCTTTGCAGAGCCATTTCCAAATGTGTCAGAGTGATGTTCTTTGGGGTAAAATATTTTGATTTCCGCTAGAGCCTGCTCTGTATCAGAGGCAGGTTGGAATTTGGTTTCTTACTGCCACGAATAATCCATGTTGTCAGTCTTACGATCTCTCTTTTAATGATGCTGCTGATCAGTTGAGCCTAAACTCCAAAAGGGAGGAGGGTGTTGAGGGGTGTCTAATCTCCCCTCATCATGGCTGGGGGTTCAGCTTCTCATGTTTCTCTGTGCCTACTCTTGGCCCATGGGGGTGTCTGTTCAGGTGGTTCGGGGGCTTAGGGTTTCACTTTGGGTTTAAAGGTCTCTGTCAGTTAGAAAACACCCCATTCAGAGGCCTCTGCACCTACCGCTGTCACTGGGTGCATCTGTCACCACTGGCCAACCTTCCTTGTAGCTCCAGAAGCTAAGAGGAAGGCAGGGCCTGGAAATGCAGGTGCCTTGCCCTGAGTTCACACAGGCCCCAGGTGAGCCCTGGGAGTTGAAAGGGGCTGCTGAGTGGGGTCAGCACAAGTGGCCAAGGTCACTGCTACTACTTTCAAAGCTCCCTCCAGCGGGGAGGAGGAGGGGGTCCCTGAACCATGGGCAGCAGGCAGGATGGCGTCTGAGGCTCCGGGGGTCTCTGCCCAGGAGGGGAAGGCAGACAAGCCTAGGTTTCACTGTGCCTTTGTCTGCTGGGGCTGCTATAATGGAGTACATAGACTGGGGGCTTAGAAACCACAGGAATGTGTTTCTCACAGTTCTGGAGGCTGGAAATCTGCGATCAGGTGCCATAGGGTCAGTTGCAGTGAGCACTGTCTTCTGGTTTGCAGACGACTGCCCTCTGGCTGTGTCCTCACGCACTGGAAGGGATGAGGGGCTTCTCTCATCCCTTTGTAAGGCATGAATTTTATTCACAAGGGCTCCACTCATGACCTAATCAATCACTGCCCAAAGGGGAGTGCAGAGGGGCACTCAAGACTTCAAATCATAGTACATGATGCTCAGGTGTTTGGATGGGTGGATGGGGGAAAGGATGGATGGATGGACAGTGGGTAGATGAATGGATAGATTGATAGAAAGTGGATAGGATTGATTCACCAAATCAGATAAGTAGATGAATGAATATTGTATGGTGAATCAACTTTTGAATGGATAGATGGGTAGGGGATGGATGGATGGATTGATGGAGGAAGGATGGCTGGATGGATGATAGATGGCTAGATGATGGACAGGTGGGTGGATGGATAGAGGTTGGATGGATGGATAGTTGGATGGATTGATGGTTGGATGGATGGATTGATTGATGAATAGATGGATGGATAGATGGTTGAATGGATATATAGGTGGATGGATGGATTGGTGGAGGGTGGGTGATGGATGAGTAGATTGATGGATAGGAGGATGGATCGACGGATGGACAGATGGATGAATGGATGGACGGATGGATGGATGGATGGATGGATGGATGGATGGACAGATGGATGGATGGATGGATGGATGGATGGATGGATGGATGGATGGATGGATGATGGTGACGGTAGATGGATGGTTGAATGGATATATAGGTGGATGGATGGACGGATGGATGGATGGATCAGTGATGGATAGATGGATGTATTGATGGATGAATGGATGGTGATGGTAGATGGATGGTTAAATGGATATATAGGTGGATGGACGGATGGATGGATGGATCAGTGATGGATAGATGGATGTATTGATGGATGAATGGATGGTGATGGTAGATGGATGGTTAAATGGATATATAGGTGGATGGATGGATTGGTGGAGGGTGGGTGAAGGATGAGTGGATTAATAGATGGTGGATAGATGGATGGATGGATGGATGGATGGATGGATGGATGGATGGTTGGATGGATGGATGGTGATGGTAGATGGAAGGTTGAATGGATATATAGGTGGATGGATGGATTGGTGGGAGGTCAGTGATGGATGAGTGGATAAATGGCTGGGAGGATGGGTGGGTGGTGTGGTGGATGGATGACTGAGTGGATATATGGATGGGTAGCTGGATAGGTGGGTAGATGAATGAATGGCAGACAGGTGGATGGATGGATTCGTGGATGATAGGTGGATGGTGCATGAATAGTAATGGATGTTCGAATGGATAGATGTGGGGTGCGTGGATAGATAGATGGATTGGTGGGGGGGAGGCTGTGGATGGATGGATGGGGATGGCTCAATATTTCCTGAGCCTAGCTATGAAGCCTCCTGTGAGCCTTGATGTGTCCAGGTCCTCGTGAGGGCAGCGGGTTCCCTGAGAAGGCAGTCAGAGTTGTCAGCGTCCGTGTTAATTTTGCCATGGCCAGTGCCTCCCCTCAAGTTAGTGACAGTCCACTTGTAAACGGGACCATCCCCCAGAACTTGCCATCCTTACCGCCCCAGTGATGACCCACAAGCAGCAGCACGCAGCTCCTACACACCCAGCTGGCCTCAGGTCACCCTCCTAAGTGAAGGAGTGCCCCACCCGCCATGACCCTCCTTCCCTGGGCTGCCCCAGGCTCCCTGAGTGCCACTCCACCAGCACGTAGCCCCTGGGGCCTCTTGGAAACAGTCAGGAGGCGCTCTCCTTTCCGTACATTAAGATTAAAAACTGCGGCTGCCTCTCCCGACTTCCCTCTTAAATAGCTTCTGTGAGTTCACAGGAATTTGCCCGAGGAACATGATTAGAGGGCTTTTTTTCTTCCACTTACAAGTCTTTACCTTAATGAAATAATGAGCAGGTAGCTCATTACAGTGGTGGCTTGGGTTTTTGTGTTTGTTTTTGGGGTTTTTCCCCCCCTCTCATCTAATTTGATTGCCCAGACTCGGAGTGTTTCGAGCTGGTGCGATTTGGTGCACTCATCACAAAGGGAGACTTTTCTCTTCTTGAGCACGGTGGGGACCGTTCCCGGAGCTAATGAGCCACTCTCATCAGAGAGCCATCTTGAAAATGAATACATTCTACTGTAACTATTTAAAGAAAAAATAATTATCAGGACTGTTCTCACTAAATCACGCTGCTTAGAAGTTGTAGAAAGAAAATTTTATCTAATTTTAAGATGTAATCTGGGTTTTGCGGATTTTTTTTTCCCGAGTGATTAGCAGATCACCACTGAACAGCGAGGACCGGAGCACGCTGCCCTTTTCTCTGCTGTCCTGGACGCTGGCCTCGTGCCAGCCTCATGGACCCCAAGACCTTGGCCCTGTCTTGGCCCCTACCCCGTGAGGGCCAGGCATTCAGGCTTCTTACCTCCCCCTGGCTGCTCTGGGGACGGTGGCTCTCCCTGCCCAGTCCTCCCTGGTTCATTTCTAAGTAAGCTCTTTCTTAGCTGAAAGGAGAATCTTGACTTCCCAGTTTCTGAGACACAGCGCATCCTGATTTAACAAAAACAGAAGGCCGGGTACGGTGGCCCACGCCTATCCTCCCAGCACTTTGGGAGGCCTAGGCGGGTAGATCACCTGAGGTCAGGAGTTCGAGACCAGCCTGGCCAACATGGTTAAACCCCGTCTCTACTAAAAATACAAAAAATTAGGGGACATGGCAGCACGCACCTGTAGTCCCAGCTACTTGGGAGGCTGAGGCAGGAGAATTGCTTGAACCTGGGAGGGGAGACTCCAGCCTCTGCACCTGCCTCCCAGGGGGACCCAGTGTCCACAGAAGTCCTCAACTGCAAATGTGCAGAACAGCTGGGCAGTTAGGGAGGCGTGGTTTTCAAAAATGTATGGAAACCTCCCTCTGCCTCTGCACGTGGTATGTGGGGGGCAGTGTGACACCGGTAGACATTGACAGGACACCTGGTCTGACCCCTACCCCGGAGATGGGGTGCCTCTCACTCACCTGCAAACCCCACCTCTTGGGTCCATGAGTGGAGCTCCCCCTCCACCTGGCCTGCTTGTCCTCAGGGTCTGAGTTCTGGGCTGGATTTAGCAATTCCTGGACTTGGGACACACATTCACCCCGGAAAAGGCCGGCCTGTACCTTTAGACCAGGCCAGAAGTGCAGGGCCAGGCTCCATCACTGAGGAACCTGCAGAGACTTGAGACCAAGTCCTCGGGTGGAGAAAGTGGCCACGTGAGATGTTGCTGGGACAGACTGACCCGTCCCCCACCCACTCACTCCAGCTCCCTGAGGCGGCCCAGCTGTGCTGTCAAGGGGCTGAGGCCCAGACTGTACAGGAAGGAGTGGGTTGACGGGGTGGTGTCATTGGCATCACGGGGGTGGGGGCGACAGCCATGGTCTTTCCTTGCATCGCCCTGTCTCCTGTCCCTGGTTGGTTAAGTGTCTCCGAGCCAGGCTGGGTGCTTCCCCAGTCATCGGCAAGGTCCTTGCTGCCACCAGGAGCCAGTCCTTCCAGGATGAGGGACACAGCAAGGGGGCGCTCCCTGCACGTGGCTCTGCCTGGAACTCTTCCCTGGTGGCCTGACATCCGTCACAGGTGGCCTCACAGCACCGGGGGAGGTGGGCTTGGCTGGTGCGCTGGGTAGGGTCAGTGGATGTGGACATGTTCTCCCTCCCCTGTGGCGTCAGCTGGAGGCCAGGTGCCTCCACCGCTCCTGCACCATCAGATGCACACAACTGCATTTGTCCTGGGCCTGCCTGGCCTGGAGGCTGCCTGACAAGGGGATGGGGCTCCCTGCCGGGGATCCTGGATGTGGTGCTTCCCCCACCCCCACCTCCTCCTGTCCACACAATGACCCCTTGACCCAGCTGTGCTGTGTGGTTGGCCGTGGCCACCTACCCTCATCTCAGATGGGACGCAGCTCACAGATAGTGCCCTGCGTGTTTCCCAGGTGGGGAGACTGTGGGGTCCCTACTCCCGAATCCCACCCTTCTCCCTTCTCTAGACAGTTCAGCATCTCCACTGGGCTGTTGGCTTCTCTCATTTCTTCGGGAAGCCCATGGGCCCCTCTGAGGTCCCTGCCCACAGGCAGTGCGGAGGCTGACCACACCCCACGTTCTGGCATCACTGCTTGTAAGCTGTGTGACCTTGGGCAGACTTCTTGAGCCCAAGAAGCTTGAGCTCTCTGAGCTTCCCTATCCTCTCCTGTAATGTGAAGATGAAGCTAATTGATTCCCCATAGGTAGAAATCAGTAATCAAATTCCAGTCATAAATAAGCATGCCAGCCCCTGGGAGGTCCACCAGGGTGGCCCGGGCACTCAGAACGCTGGGGAAGAGGAGGTCAACATGAATGCACGTGAATACATGGAAATGAGCTTGCCACGCAGCCACAGGGAAGGCTGGTGCTGCTGCTCCACCCTTGCGGTTCTGGGTATGTCTGGGCCCCGGTGTTCCCGGTGGGGCCCTCCGGTATGCAGGAGGCTCTTCTGGAGGTGTAGGAAAGACAGATGCCTCCCAGAAACACAGCCACTTCCCAGCCTTTTCCTGTGCCCTGGGCCTGGGAGGCCCGGCTATGCCAGTTCACTCCAGAAGCCTCCCTGCTCCACATGTTGGTCACAGGTCACTAAGCTTGTGGATATCTAGTCCTGCTCCTGGGCAGTGCCTCATCTGATGTCTTCTGTGTCCCCCGGGCCATACTGCCCTGGCAAGGACTGACCTACAAGGGAGGCCGCCACTCCAAACTTCTACCCCACCCACCTGCCAGCCTTCCCGACAAAGGCTGGGGCCACCTCGGAAGTCAGGCCTCAGCATGCCATCTCCCACAGGGCAGAAACAGGAGCCCAGGGCCCTCCTGCGAGCTTCCAACACGCCCTGCGGGGATCAGTATCACAGCGACCATCCTCAGTGCCTGTGTCGGGACTTCCTGCCCATGGGTTCTTCTGTGGGACCTCTGGTAGACCCCAATTCCATTTCACTCCACGAGGCCAGGTGGTCTTTGTGTCTGTGTGGAGTGTGTGTACATTTGTGTATGTGCATATTGTGTGGGGGGTGGGTCTGTATGTATTCGTGTGTATTAATGTTGACCACCCCTTTTCCCGTGCACATGGCTGTAGATTGAATCCTCCGTCCCCAGCCAGATCTGGGAGGCTTGGGGGACGCTCTTCTCGGTCAGACACTGCCAGAGAGCGCGGCCGCCCCAGCTCAGGCGGTCAAGAGTGTTTCTGATGATATGTGAGCAAGTGCCCACAGTTTCTCCTGGAATCCCACTGGGCTGGTTCTGGGTGATTCATTTTCCAAGCTGTTGAGTACAGAAAGCAGAACTGCGTGTTAACGGGAGTGAGGAAGCCGTTTATTCCCAAGGGAAGCCTGCAGCCGTGCACACCATGGGGCTTGGGTGTTGAGCTGAGGAATGTCACGGCCACAGTCCCAGGTGAAGGAGCACTGTGCGTCCCTGTCCATCTGTCCCCTGGAGGAGCCCGCGTGTTCCTCCCTGGGGCGTCAATCCGGGGAAGGGTCGTGTGGACAGTTGGCTTCTCTTCATGTGTTTCCTAGGTTGTGAGGTTCTCAGGTTTGGGGCTGGGCAGGGGGCCTTCCTGACTCTTTGAGAGATTGGCTGGGGCTTCCTGGTGCTGGAACAACTCGGCAGGCCCTTTGGCGTCACCAGATTCCTGGCGAGGGGAGTCAGCTTGGCTGGCTTCAAGTTCTGCATACAGCATCGCTCAGTCCTTACTAAGAGCTTTCAAGCACCACGAGGCCACACAGCCATGCCACCCATGGGTGACACAGACAAAACGCAGAGGGTTAGCTCTCGAGAACACATAGGCCGTTTGGGGCTTCCACGATCTGGGTCAACTGGGGTCCACTCAGACCCTCAACCCCACCTGCCCGGGACCTCCGATCAATAGAATCTACCTGCTCGCCGCGCTCCAGGGCAGAGACCTACCTGCTGCGCCGGGTGTATACCTTCCCCGCGTTCCACTGGTGAGCTCCAGGGCGGAGACCTACCTGCTGCACTGGGTGTATACCTTCCCCGCGTTCCACTCAGTGAGCTCCAGAACGGAGGGACCTACCTGCTGCACCATGTGTATACCTTCCCCGCGTTCCACTCAGTGAGCTCCAGGGCAGAGACCTACCTGCTGCGCCGGGTGTATACATTCCCCGCGTTCCACTCAGTGAGCTCCAGAGTGGAGGGACCTACGTGCTGCACTGGGTGTATACATTCCCCACGTTCCACTCGGTGAGCTCCAGAGTGGAGGGACCTACATGCTGCACTGGGTGTATACATTCCCCACATTCCACTCGGTGAGCTCCAGAGTGGAGGGACCTACGTGCTGCACTGGGTGTATACATTCCCCGCGTTCCACTCGGTGAGCTCCAGAGTGGAGGGACCTACGTGCTGCACTGGGTGTATACATTCCCCACATTCCACTCGGTGAGCTCCAGAGCAGAGGGACGTACCTGCTGCGCCGTGTGTATACATTCCCCGCGTTCCACTCGGTGATCTCTGCTCTCACATACTTAAGGATGTGTCTCATGAAGGCGTCTTAATAAGCGCGTGGCTTTGTTGTCATCACACCTTCTATTTAACCCAGAGCTGTCCCGGAAGGCACTTTTACGAGTGGGTTTCTGATAACTCACCTCAGATGTCTCCTTCGGATGAAGACAGGCTTTGCCTTGCAGCATGAGTAAGCAGGGCTTTAAACGGGAATAATCCAATTATCGCTGCGACTGCGAACAGAAGAAACTTCCATTGCATATTTACTGCCGCACTTACGTCTAACGAACTGCTCCGGGAGGGTGAGAGGGAGGCCCGGAAGCGCTTAGAGTGTGTCCCTGGTGCAGCGCCCACAGCCCCGGAGAGTGGCTCCCACGTCCCAGGGAAACATCCAGCTCCTGCTGCCTCTTCCTGTTGCAATTCACACTGGGTATTGGGGGTGGATGGACCTTTGCAGGGTGTGAAGGGTCTGCGTGAACAGGAACATGTTACACACACACACACACACCGTACACACAATCACACCCCATATACACATACACACTATACACACACCCCATACACACACATACACATACCATACACACACACTATACACACATCCTATACACACACCCCATATACATACCCCATACCCACACCTCATACGCACACACCCCATACACCCACACCATACACCCACCATACACATACAACCTCACACACACTATACACACAACCCATGTACACACACCATACACACAGACCCCATACACACCCCATGCACACACACAGCCCATACACACCATACCACCACACATACACACTATACGCACACCACCTCACACACCACACGCACACACACCCGGGCCCCCTGGATGGCATTTGGAAATGAGTATCCTCCAGATCACACAGGACATACCTGCACTCTGACATGGCCGTCGCAAGCACAGCCTATTCAGAAGAGGTCGGTGGCCAGCATTTAGGCCATCAAGCACTGTCCCCAGGAGGCCACAGCCCAGGGCTGAATCCCCCAGGCAGGCACGCCTCTGACTGGCCGCAGACTTGGACGGCATGGCGTGTCTCCCTGTTGCCTCACAGTCCTGATGACAAGTCCAAACGACAAGCAGGACTAAGACTGAACGTTCCCTGAGCCTCCCTTGTGTGAAGCCTCAGAAAAGACAGACCCAGGAACCTGGGTCAGTGCTGGTCAGAGGTGCCTCCACGCTGGCCATCTGCAGGAGGCACCGGTGGGCTCCCCCTCGATCAGGCACGGTCTCACCCAAACAACCACCCTGTTGTGTCTTCAACTCCATTCAAGGGTCGCCCGACTGTTTGTGGCAAATTGGACTTTCAGCAAATTGATTGAGAGCGTGAGCCACTCTGTGCTGAGGTCCTGTGGCTAGCCAGCCCCACCCGCCCCCTCCTCTCAGCCCTTTCCTCCCTGAGGCTGTTGGCACGGTCACAGGCCGCTGACCTCCCAGACTGCAGGGAGAGCCCGGCTCCTGCCTGGCCTGGAGGCCTCTCGCCCTGAAACATGGTCCAAGCTGCACTGGGCAGAGGACGCTGCACTCTGCCCTCCTGGAACCCAAGGTTTCCATGCTGCCACTGACAAGGATCTGGGAGCAGCGGCTGCGTCATCCCGAGGAGCGAGGGAGGCCTGGGAGGTGAAGCTTGCACCTGGGGAAGCAGCTTGAATGTGCACCCAGAGGGGACCTGGAGTGCTGGAAGGTGCAAGCCCCTCTGTAGACCTAAGGACTCACTGCCAGGGAGCCAGGTGGCCTGGGGGATGATGCACATGTGTGGGTGGTGAGACTGTGAGGGGGCACCCTGCGGACGTGTGTGCATGTGTGTGGACGTGCAGCTGTGTGTGGTGTGCATGTGTGTGCCTGTATCTACGTACGTGAATGGCATATGTGTGTGTGATGAAGAGCGTGGTGTGGGAGGGACCCTTGGGCTGAGTGGTACCTTGGAGAAGTGTTTCCAGGTGGAGAAAGCGCTGCTGGCCCAGGGCCTGGCTGGGCTGGGTCTTGGGGGCTGTGGGGTCCTACAGAGGCTCAAGATTGGTGAGACCCTAGGTTCAACCAGGACAAACGCAGTCTGAGACGCCCTCCCGCACCCCCTTTCCATCTGAGGCAGTGGCTCCCTGGCTCCCTTCCCCAGCCATGTCCTGAGCACCCGCTCCTACCATCCTGCGGACAGGCACTGCAGACACAGAAATGCTTGAGAACCTGTGCCCTTTACCCCATGCCCTTTAACCCATGCCCTTTACCCCTGTGCCCTTTACTCCTGTGCCTTTATCCCTGTGCCCTTTACCCCTGTGCCTTTATCCCTGTGCCCTTACCCCTGTGCCCTTTACCCCTGTGCCTTTATCCCCCATACCCTTTACCCCTGTGCCCTTTAATCCCCATGCCCTTTAATCCCCATGCCCTTTACCTGCATGTCCTTTACCCCTGTGCTTTTATCCCATGCCCTTACCCCCTGTGCCCATTACCCCCATGCCCTTCCCTCCCCCATGTCCATTACCCCCATGCCCTTCCCTCCCCCGTGCCCATTACCCCCGTGCCCTTCCCTCCCCCGTGCCCATTACCCCCGTGCCCTTCCCTCCCCCGTGCCCATTACCCCCGTGCCCTTCCCTCCCCCGTGCCCATTACCCCCATGCCCTTCCCTCTCCCGTGCCCATTACCCCCGTGCCCTTCCCTCCCCCGTGCCCATTACCCCCGTGCCCTTCCCTCCCCCGTGTCCATTACCCCGTGCCCTTCCCTCCCCCGTGCCCATTACCCCCGTGCCCTTCCTTCCCCCGTGCCCATTACCCCCATGCCCTTCCCTCCCCCATGTCCATTACCCCCGTGCCCTTCCCTCCCCCGTGCCCATTACCCCCGTGCCCTTCCCTCCCCCGTGTCCATTACCCCGTGCCCTTCCCTCCCCCGTGCCCATTACCCCCGTGCCCTTCCCTCCCCCATGCTCATTACCCCCGTGCCCTTCCCTCCCCCATGTCCATTACCCCCGTGCCCTTCCCTCCCCCGTGCCCATTACCCCCGTGCCCTTCCCTCCCCTGTGCCCATTACCCCCGTGCCCTTCCCTCCCCCGTGCCCATTACCCCCGTGCCCTTCCCTCCCCCATGTCCATTACCCCCGTGCTCTTCCCTCCCCCGTGCCCATTACCCCCGTGCCCTTCCCTCCCCTGTGTCCATTACCCCCGTGCCCTTCCCTCCCCCGTGCCCATTACCCCCGTGCCCTTCCCTCCCCCGTGTCCATTACCCTCATGCCCTTCACTCACCCATGCCCATTACCCCCCTGCCCTTCCCTCCCCCATGTCCATTACCCCCATGCCCTTCCCTCCCCCGTGCCCATTACCCCCGTGCCCTTCCCTCCCCCGTGCCCATTACCCCCGTGCCCTTCCCTCCACCGTGCCCATTACCCCCGTGCCCTTCCCTCCCCCGTGCCCATTACCCCCGTGCCCTTCCCTCCCCCGTGCCCATTACCCCCGTGCCCTTCCCTCCCCCATGTCCATTACCCCCGTGCCCTTCCCTCCCCCGTGCCCATTACCCCCGTGCCCTTCCCTCCCCTGTGCCCATTACCCCCGTGCCCTTCCCTCCCCCGTGCCATTACCCCGTGCCCTTCCCTCCCCCATGTCCATTACCCCCCGTGCTCTTCCCTCCCCCGTGCCCATTACCCCCGTGCCCTTCCCTCCCCTGTGTCCATTACCCCCGTGCCCTTCCCTCCCCCGTGCCCATTACCCCCGTGCCCTTCCCTCCCCCGTGTCCATTACCCTCATGCCCTTCACTCACCCATGCCCATTACCCCCATGCCCTTCCCTCCCCCATGTCCATTACCCCCATGCCCTTCCCTCCCCCGTGCCCATTACCCCCGTGCCCTTCCCTCCCCCGTGCCCATTACCCCCGTGCCCTTCCCTCCCCCGTGCCCATTACCCCCGTGCCCTTCCCTCCACCGTGCCCATTACCCCCGTGCTCTTCCCTCCCCCGTGCCCATTACCCCCGTGCCCTTCCCTCCCCTGTGTCCATTACCCCCGTGCCCTTCCCTCCCCCGTGCCCATTACCCTCATGCCCTTCACTCACCCATGCCCATTACCTCCCGTGCCCTTTACTTGTCATATGCTCAGGACCCCCCTGATTAGCCCATGTGGATGGGTGATGACATGTTTTTGCCCAGAGCCCAGGTTTGAGTCACCATCACTCACGCTACCAAGGGAAGCTCTGTCAGCTCCTGGGGACGCCCCTTCCCATCCCTGAGAGCTACTGTGACACTGAGACCAGAGGAGAGGCCTCCTCACCCATGCCCGGGTGAAAGAGAGTTGTGAAATGTGGGCTTGAAAGGCCCCTTTGTCCCCACCCAGGACATGGTGGCCGGGCGCTGTGCCTCTGACCGCCTCCAGCAGGAAGTGGGCTGGGCTGGGCGAGCCTGGCTCCTGCCAGCAAACAAAAGGTGTTGTGTGCTCAGGGCCAGCGCGCTGGTGCCCTTGGAGGGCCAGGCCAGGGACGGGGTAGCCTGCTGCCTGCTCGTCCATTTGTTCTGCGAGTGCTGAGAGCAGGCGAGCCCGCGTAGTGACCCGCATGCATGTACATACGTGTTTACATGAGAGTATACATGTGGGTGCATGTGCAGATACACATCTCTACACATGTGCATGTGTGTGCTGCACTTGTTGATACGTGTTTGTGAGTGTGCATTTAAATGGACGTGTGCATGTGTGTGTGTCTACAGACCTCTGTGTGTGGTATATGTGTGTGTGTAACATGTACGTGTGTGATGTATGTGTGTGGTGTATACATGTGTGATGTTGACATGTGTGTGCACATCAAGGTCCCTGCTGAGCTGGGCAGTGAAGGATTTGAGCCCGGACCATCTGTCCACCCTCTCACAGCCTGCCCTGCAGATAGGTCAGGCCCTCGGATGCCACCCACCCTGCCCCGGTGTTCTGGGCTGTGCCAGCCCCATTCCTGATGGCCCAGGCCCCACCGTGTGCTGCAGAGTGGCTAAAGTGGGCAGGGCTGATGCTGAGATGCCTTGTCGCAGCAGCTGAATGGCTTCTCACCCGAGACAGCCCCGTCCCTGCTTCTGCCTCTTAGGGCAGAAGACAATAGGCACTGGGGACCGGGGGTTTCTGAGGCCCTGTTCGGCTCAGGATGAGAGCAGCAGCCAAGCTGCCCCGAAGACCACCCTGGGCACCGTGGTTAGGACAGATGGGAGCACACATGGGCATTTCTTTCAAGCCGCACTGAAACCTCTGCCTCTCATGTCCCTCAGCGTTGGTGCCAGAGAAACACACCCCCAACACACATGGGCGCACACACACGGACCCACAAAGACATGCACACACACACAGACATGCACACGGACACACACATGCACACAGATGCACGCACACACACACAGACACATATATGCACACGTGCACACACACACACATGTTGCTTTCTATAATTTGTTCAGTTCTTTTCCCAGCCATTGCAAGGGGATTTCTGGGATTGGAGAGTGTGTTTCACCTGTAGCTTCCTCTAGGTTTAAGGTTCGTATTTGTGCGTGTGTGAGATTTTTCAACCATATTTACTGTCACCCAGAACGCTGCATCGGGGATGGGAGACAGCTGCTGGTGGCTTTCTGCAGGAATAGGAAACAGACAGGAAAAGAGGCCCTGGGAAGAAACAGTCTCCAGCCTTCCCCCTCCTGGCACCATGCCCCCTCTTGGCGCTGTCCCTCAGGTTGGTGGAAGTGCAGCAGGTGGCTGGGACTCTCTGAGGGTCTGGGAGCTGCTGCCTGGGTGGCTTGTTCATCCTGGAGATGTCCCCAGAAGCCGGGAGGTTCCCTCAGGAGCAAAGAGCACAGTTCCTTTCTCGTGGGGGAAGCCACTGATTCTCAGCTAGAGTTTCCTCACCTGACACTTCCGGTGAATGAGGTATATTCCCATGGCTCCTGGTCCCCTGGCCGTCTCAGCTGGGTCAGGCTGCTGTAGCAAACCTCTGCAAACTGAGGGGCTCAAACAACACGTTTTTATTTTCGCGCAGTTCTGGTGGCTGGACGTTTAAGATCACGGTGCTGAGAGGTTTGGGTCCTGGTGAGGATCTGATTCCTGGCTCCTAGACGGCATCTGCTTGCTATGTCCTGACATGCTGGGGTGAGGAGGGGGAGGAGGGAAGAGTGGGGGCAAAGAGAGAACATGGTTGAACTCCGGAGTCTCTCTCTTAAGGACAGGAATCCGGTGGGTCAGGGCCCCACACTCATGGCCTCATCTAACCTTCCTCAACTCCTGGAGGCCCCGTCTCCAGTTACAGGGGTTGGGCTGCACTGAGAGGCTACTCCATCCATGGCACTGGCCTGTAAATGGGCTGGTGCCAGCCATGCCAGGCTGCTGGGCGCTGCCTCCATGGCTTCGGGTGTGAAGGGGCCTGTGTGGGGCAGGGCAGGACTGGCCAGGACACAGCACCCCACAGCATCCTCTGCATGGGTGCCATGACAGGTATGACCAGTGCATCTCAACTCCTCTCCACTCCACTCATGCAGGCCTCGGGCAGCTCCTCCTGCCTTGTCAGAACCGAGGACCAGAGCCTGGTCATTCTGGCTGTGATGCTGTCCCTTTGTCTTCCAGAGGGCCCCTGACCTCCCAGACCTGCCTCCCCTGCGACAACCCCAGGGCCTGCGTCTTCCTGGGGTAAGGAGTGAGCTCTCCCCCAGGGTCCGGTCCTCTGCTGCCCACTGCTCCTACAGGGATAGCCACTGCCTGCAGGCCAGCAACGTGATTGGCTGGTCCTGTGCAAAATGAAATGTGGGGCCCTTGTTACAAATTATTCAGAATTTCAAGACGTGGGAACCACAGAGCATTGTCCAAGCGGTGGTCCTCCCGCACGTGGGATCATGGACAGCAGCCTGGGTGCACAGCCACGAAGCCCACCAGCCACACATCTGGAGGACAGCGTGTCAGCACAGGGGGGTGCACACACATGCCTTTGCAGAGCTGTCTATACAGCAGTGCACACGTGTGCACACGCATGCCTTTGCAGAGCTGTCTATACAGCAGTGCACACGTGTGCACACGCATGCCTTTGCAGAGCTGTCTATACAGCAGCACACGTGTGCACACGCATGCCTTTGCAGAGCTGTCTATACAGCAGCACACGTGTGCACACGCATGCATTTGCAGAGCTGTCTATACAGCAGCACACATGTGTGCACACATTTGCAGAGCTGTCTATACAGCAGCACACGTGCACAGGCACGCATTTGCAGAGCTGTTTATACAGCAGTGCACACGTGTGCACATGCATTTGCAGAGCTATCTATACAGCAGTGCACACGTGTGCACGCGCATGCCTTTGCAGCTGTCTATACAGCAGCACACACGTGTGCACACGCATGCATTTGCAGAGCTGTCTATACAGCAGTGCACACATGTGCACATGCATTTGCAGAGCTGTCTATACAACAGTGCACATGTGTGCACATGCATTTGCAGAGCTGTCTATACAGCAGTGCACACGTGTGCACACGCATGCCTTTGCAGAGCTGTCTATACAGCAGTGCACACATGTGCACACGCATGCCTTTGCAGAGCTGTCTATACAGCAGTGCACACGTGTGCACACGCATTTGCAGAGCTATCTATACAGCAGCGCACAAGTGTGCACACGCATGCCTTTGCAGAGCTGTCTATACAGCAGTGCACACGTGTGCACACGCATTTGCAGAGCTGTCTATACAGCAGTGCAAAAGTGTGCACACGCATGCCTTTGCAGAGCTGTCTATAGAGCAGCGCACAAGTGTGCACACGCATGCCTTTGCAGAGCTGTCTATACAGCAGCGCACAAGTGTGCACACGCATGCCTTTGCAGAGCTGTCTATACAGCAGCGCACACGTGTGCACACGCATGCCTTTGCAGAGCTGTCTATACAGCATTGCACACGTGTGCACACACATGCATTTGCAGGGCTGTTGATACAGCAGCGCACACGTGTGCACACGCATGCCTTTGCAGAGCTGTCTATACAGCATTGCACACGTGTGCACATGCATGCATTTGCAGGGCTGTTGATACAGCAGCCATTTCCCTCCTGTGCTGAGGAATCTCAGGAACGTTTTGTAAACCAGTATCCTGGGGAAGTACACTTCTGGTTTATGCAAATTGAGAGTCCTGTGCTTTATTTAAAAAAGGAAAAAGGTGACATGGAAGAGAAAACTCAGGAGAGAGGAGGAAGCCAAGGGTTTTGAAGTGTCGCAAGAGGGACCGGGGTTGCAGACAGGAGTTGGGGGCTGGGGGTCATGGGGACCACTCTTGCCTTGGGCCTGGATGTCCATGCATCCCAGCCTGGTGTGGGCGACAGGGAGCCCTTCCCCATCTACAGGGCTGGCAACGGAGGCAGCCCAGGCACTGGGTTCTCTGCGTCCCTGGGGCCAGTGGACCCATCAAACACTGAGCCCCAGGAGGGAGGGATCTAGAAGGAAAACACAAAGGGGCTTCACGTGTAAATCGCCTGAATCCAACAAGGTGAGTTCCAAGCTGCTACTCAGAGCAGTGAGGACCCCGAGAAACAGTGCGGGGTGAGGAAGGGGAGGTGAGGGCTCCCATGGCCTCCCTGCTCTGGCATGAAATGAGCCATGTGCAGTCCATCCACTTTGCACATAGCATGGGGCACGTGGCTCTCACCAGTGAATGCAGTGTCTGATGATGTCATCTGTTCTCCTAGGGCCTTGAACCCAAACTTTTTTTTTTTGAGACAGAGTCTCACTCCATCACCCAGGCTGGAGTGCGGTGGCACAGTCTTGGCTCGCTGAAACCTCTGCCTCTCGAGTTCAAGCGATTCTCCTGCCTCAGCCTCCTGAGTAACTGGGATTACAAGCACATGCCACCACATTTGGCTAATTTTCTGTATTTTTAGTAGAGATGGGGTTTCACCGTGTTAACCTGGATGGTCTCAATCTCCTGACTTCCTGATCCACCCAACTCAGCCTCCCAAAGTGCTGAGATTACAGGCGTGAGCCACCCTGCCCGAATGACCCAAACTTTCAAACTTCTTTTTCATGTGAGATCCAGAGTTTTCCCCGATTTCCAACCATGGGGTTAAAGTTGGTGGTAGAATCCTGTGTGTATAAGTGTGCATGTTTCTAACTTAACTGTGAACTAGGAATGCCTGGCAAGTGTCTGCATCTCGTCTGAACGCCTGTGTTTCAGCTGGATTGCAACCTCTGTTTGTAGGTCCGGTTTTAATAGACATCATCATGTGTGCATTAGGAAGGACTATTTTGTCCCAGTTTGAGAAATGACTGATCGTCTTCTTGAGGTTCCTGCAGTGAAGCTTATGTTGATACAGTCACATCTAACTCCTTGCTTCTCGGCCTTTCTGGTGGAGAGTAATCTCCAGTCTGCCTAATCCTACAGCCACACAATGGGGTGGGCTTTCAGTGAAGAGAGAAACTGCGACTCTCTGTGGCATGGAAGAAGTTGCTGTGGGCTTCGGAGTTTCCCCAGCGGTCCATCTACCCGGCCCCCTCACCACACCCCCGCCCTCTACCCTGTCCAGGGGTCATGATGAGGATTCATGTCCTTTAGTCTTGTAGCCTTGATGTGGCTGGTGAGGGGCGGGCCCCGGTGGTCATCCTGGCATCTGCAGATGAGATGTGGCACGGGTGGGGATTGGGACAGGGGTTGCTGTCACATCCTCCCATCAGTGATGGGCACCAGCTCTCCACCCCCCGCCCGGCCTCACTCCGAGCAGCAAGTCTGGGCTCCATTGGCCCCCCCCCAGTCACAGGCTGCTCTCACTGCATCTGAGGGATGACCTGGCCGAGAACCCCCTCCTCCTGCTTTTTCCCGGCTCTTTGGTGCATTACAGACAAGAGCAAGTGAGGCAGCCATGCTGCAGGAAGGGCACGGCTCCACAGAGGCGTCTCCAGCCCCCCTTGGTCACTTCTTACTGCTCCTTGAGTGGCCGAGGACAGAGCAGGACTCGGAGTAAGCACTAAACCAGGAAGCCAGCAAGCTGGTGAAGCCCCGGGGCCCAGCGTCCCTGCGTGAGGGTCCCTGCGCACAGCCATGCCAGGCACTGCCTGAGGGCCTTTCCAGCCAGCGCCAAGACCCAGGTCCCCCAGTAACACCCTCACAACCCATGAAAGCAGCATGCTGACTGCCTGTCTCTTTTCTCCCACAGCAAGAATCATCAAGACCAAGCAGTGGTGTGACATGCTTCCGTGTCTGGAGGGGGAAGGCTGTGACTTGTTAATCAACCGGTCAGGCTGGACGTGCACGCAGCCCGGTGGGAGGATAAAGACCACCACGGTACGTGGCCCTTGGCCTCCTTGTGGGTGTGCTGGGGTGGGGGCCTGTGAGGCCTCCGACGCCACCCTGACTCTGGCGGGGGGACAGGTGGTAGCTGCTCACTCCATCCTCGGGCAAAGAGGCCCAGGGCCGGTCTCCTCCCCACCTCCCTCTCTGGGGCTGGATTCCTGACCATCTGTCCTGGGGCAGTTTCTTGTTGCCGTGGCGCGGGCACCTCGTGTCCGTGGGCTACAGATCCTGGGGCTGGTGGACCTCTGTGAGTGACTGTGTGCTCGCTCCAGGGGGCCAGGGCTAGTCCTATAATCTTCCCAGGTGTCTTGGGAGAAGGCTCTGGGAACAGCAGGAGTGCTGGCTCCTAATAGAATCACTGGCCTGTGGTGACCTGTTTTCAAAGCTTTCTGGAAAGGTTAGTTGAGCTCTTGAACTAACCACCGTAGAATTGGAAGTTACAATCCCAGTTGCCTGATTGCATCTGAGTTTCTTATAGGTGGTGAATTAGCACTAGATGCGATTTCACACTTTACCATGAATTGCTTTTTCGAGAGATGATGGTTTCTCATAACTTGGCTGTGAGAGACTCAGTAGATATGGGCTTGCTGCTAATTCCAGACTAATGGTCATGTTCTTAGATTAATACCCACCTCCAACCCAGGCCCGATGCAGGCAGCCCCCCGCCCCCGCCTGCCCAGCTGTGGCTCCACCATCGTGCTGACTCCAGGCCTGATGCAGGCGGCCCCCCGCCCCCGCCTGCCCAGCTAGGCTCCACCATTGCGCTGACCCCAGGCCTGATGCAGGCGGCCCCCCTGCCCCCAACCTGCCCAGCTGAGGCTCCACTAATGTGCCTAGTGCCTGTCACACCCCAGCCCTTTCCCGAATGGGTGCTTGCCGTTTACTTCTCTCTGTGGCCCCACGAGAGTGTGGGCCGCCCTGGCACAGGTGCTGGCCTACATGTGCTGCTCCCCATTCCCTTCCCGCACCTGTGCCTCTGTGTGTGACACATGGATTCATGGGCTCACCGAGTGTGGACCCTAGGCACATGCTGTGCTTGAGTTTGTAAGACTGCTTTTTTTCTCTTGCCCAGGCTGGAGTGCAGTGGCATAATCTCGGCTCACCACAACCTCCACCTCCTGAATTCAAGTGATTCTCCTGACTTAGCCTCCCAGGTAGCTGGGACTACAGACACCCACCAGCACATCCAGCTAACGTTTGTATTTTTAGTAGAGACAGGGTTTTGCCATGTTGGCCAGGCTGGTCTTGAACTCCTGACCTCAGGTGATCCACCCACCTCGGCCTCCCAAAGTGCTGGGATTGCAGGTGTGAGCCACCTCCCTGACCCAAGATCACTGCTTTTGAAAGTGCAGGCAGTCACCCCAGGAATGTGTTGTGAAATTAATAGACCACCGCCAGCATTTAAAAGGAGGAAGGAATAGAATGAAAGGTGGCGTCTGTGTCTTGAGGGGGAGCACCCGGTGCTGGAGCACACGCCTGCTCACACGTGGTCACATGGGAGAAGCATTTTTAGTAGAGACGGGATTGCTGTAGGAGGCTGGAAATCCATGTCCTGTGGGGACTGGAGAGAAACTGACCACTCAGTGGTTTTCCAGGCACTGCCCTCAGCCGGCTTTGCCCTGCGATGTCCACCTACCCTACGCAAGGAGACCCTGGGTGGCTGCTGCCGGTCCCCCCAAGGTGTGGGCAGTGCCCCTTCTTGGCCCCCACTCTGGCTCCTGCTCCTGGGGGATGGGCTGAGAGCTGTTGTCCACCCCCCCTCCCATTCCCCAGCTTTGCTCTGGCTTCCTCTGCCCTTGAGCAGGGCTCGCAGAGCTGGAGAAGGAGGGACAGGAAGGGCTGGTGGGGCCGAGGGGAGCAGGTCTTCTCTCCATGGATGTTTCTCGGCCGGGGCTGCGTACCGCACATGTGACTGGCTTTTGAAATACTCTAATCAGTGTTTGCTCTGCCACGTTTTTGGAATGTTTATGTATTGCAAGGTACTTGTCAGTGAGCTGTTCCTAAATCTGAACAAACCGGCTAGATGGAAATCCTATTTGCACACTCACCAGCAAGCACCACATTCTAATTCTGTGCTGTGTGAAATCACAGTTGTGGGGGTGGAAAAATTCAGTGGGGTTTCTGTGTGGTTCTCTTCAGAAACTTGTATTTCATGGAAACTCGCTCCACTGAGAGCCCATTTCCCCAGCGTGAGAGACTCCGAGGCTGTGCAGACAGCAGCAGCCGCTGATCTCATGGGGGCTTGGATGTCTGAATCCCACCCCAACCAGGCTTTCCAGGAGGGCGGTATCTACAGGCCATCCCGGGGCCTCCGCTGGACCCAGAGAGGAGGACACGCAGGTCTCCTTGGGGCCTGGCCGCCCAGCAAGCAGCCTGCCAAAATGCTGTCTCTCCTGTCATGTTGCCGTAAACTGCTGCTGCCTCAGGCCAGGCAGCTCATGCTGTCAGCCTGGTGGCAAGTTCTGGAGGTCAGACTCACTGCCAATGGATGATTCACATCACCTACCAACCCTCTGGAAAAGGTTCTGTGGTCATCTTGTGGCCGGGGAGCTCTCTGTTAGCAGCTCCTAGTTCTCTGGTGGTCTTATGGCTGGGGAGCTCTTCTGTCAGCATCTCCTGGTTCTGTGGTCGCCTCGTGGCCGGAAGCTCTCCCGTCAGCATCTCCTGGTTCTGTGGTCACCTCGTGGCCGGGAGCTCTCCCGTCAGCATCTCCTGTTTCTGTGGTCGCCTCGTGGCTGGGAGCTCTCCTGTCAGCATCTCCTGGTTCTGTGGTCGCCTCGTGGCCGGGAGCTCTCCCGTCAGCATCTCCTGGTTCTGTGGTCGCCTCATGGCCGGGAGCTGTCCCGTCAGCATCTCCTGCAGTTCTGCGCTTTGTCCACAGTGGCCTTGTTTGGGACTTAGGATCCAGCTTGCTACAGGGAGGGGCCTTCTGGCTGCATGGCCCCTGACCCAGTGGGTGGCTTACCTTGTCCAGGCCACTGTGCCCCTGAGCTTCCTGCAAGCCTGGAGCCTGGAGGAGTCTCCCATTGCAGAACCGAGCTCAAACTGCGAGGTCTCTTCATTCACAGATGCTGAGGACCTAGCATGTCAAACGTGGTCCCACTAACAGATCCATGGGAAGAACAGGCTAGGACCCTGCCTTGGAGCACCTCGGCGTGAAGAAGGAGGTACCAGCACTGGGCTCCAGGCCCAGCCCTCCTGTGTCTGTGCCAGTCCGCCAGGCAGCTGAGGCACAGGAGTGCGTTGCTATGTCAGGATCTCAGGGCCCAGGGAGGCTCTGCTGAAGGACAGAGTGTCTGTGACCTGTGCCGAACCCTGGATCTTGGAGGAGCCGGGGAAACAGCAGCTGTGTGCACTAGGGTCCCAGTTAGAGAGGATAGGATGCTCACACTTCCTTCATGCACCTTCTGGAACCCCCTGTAAGGTGACAGGGACACAAAATGGGGAAAATGGCATCCTCCTTTGAGTGCAAACTCAGCAGGACAGTTCTGGAAGGACAGGAGCGGGTGGACGGGGCTGACAAGGAGAGCTGAGCCGCTGGGAGCTGTGTGCGGTCAGCACTGATAGGCTTCTCCCAGCGTGGTGGAGGCAGGCCCAGCTGAAAGGCTGCATCAGAGGCCCCTGGTCCTCCCACCCAGGCACCTGGCCTCAGCTCCCTGTGGAACCCAAAGAAGAATGGATTCACAGAGGCTCCCGCTGAAGAGGGAGCGAGCTGGGCAGCACCAGACCCTGCAGTGGAAATACGGCCAAGCGCAGCAGGAACTTCTGGAAACCAGGCGATGAGGTGAAAAGTGACATGTTGAGATGGGAGTCCCGCTCAGCTCCCCCAGGGCTCAGTCAGGAGACCCGCCGCTTCTTTCTGGAATCACTTCCTGCCTGTATGACCTGCGGCCACTCCGTTCTGAGTGGCTGGAAATGGCAGAAACGTATCATCTCAAGGTCCTGGAGGCCAGAAGGTGCCAGATTGATGGTCAGGGCCCTGCTCCCTCAGGAGGCTCTGTAGGAGGACCCGCCGTTGCCTCTCGCAGCTCTGGAGGCCCCAGGTTCCCTTGGCTCGTGACCGCAGCACCCCACTCTTTGTGTCCGTCTTCATGTGGCCTGCTCTGTTTGTAAAATTTCCTTCTCCCTTCTCTGATAAACACTCCACCCACAGGATTTAGAGTCCATTCTGAATCTAGGATGATTTCCTCTTAACATCCTTCACTAGTCACATAGGAAAAGACCCTATTTTCAAATCAAGTCAGATTCTGAGGTTCCCCAGTGGACGTGAACTTTGGGGGGCCCCATTCCACCCACTGAACCCACCAACCCAGATCAGAACCCCAGGTGCCGTGAGCCAGGGGCCATAGGGCCCTTCTGCCCCTAGACGGCTGTTCAGCTCCAGGCTCCTAAACATGGTGGGAAGCAAAGGTCACTGTTTGCAGAGGGAGACAAAACCAGAAGAAGCCAGAGGAGGAGGAGCGAGGAACGTAGAGGCCGCAGGCACCACTGAGGCAGCAGTGGAAGGGCAAGCGCCCCAGTGAAAGCACAGCTCAGTCTCAGAGAGGGCAGAATGCATGTAGACACAGGAGCAGGTGGGGCGGGGTGCGGAGGCAAGGAGGCTCAGGCGCTCTGCATCCCCCCCTCTGGCTCTCAGCCTTAGGGATGTGTGTGGCCAGTGGAAGGGTGTGGTCATGACCCACGCACTGCTGGAACACTGGCTCTGAGCCCTGAGCCCTGTGGGCATCATTACCCTAAGCCTGTCCTGCTGGAGCTAACAGAAGAGCCCCAGACCAGGTGAGGAGCTGGGCCTACTGGCTGGGCCCAGGCACCTCATGAGACAGAGGTGAGCAAGGCCAGCAGGCCAGCCCCAGCCACAGATGTCACCTCTGAGTTAAGGTGCTATTAGGAGAGGACCTGTCCGGGGAGTGGGGGGAAGGGGAGGGAGAGCATAAGGACAAATACCTAATGCATGTGGGGCTTAAAACCTAGATGACAGGTTGATGGGTGCA